TTACTTCCCAACCCTGGTATACATATATTAATAACATATATATGTATATGTATACGTCTTTAGCATATATTAATGTATAGTAAATTCATTTTTATAATTTTCACTTAGCCCATTCACATTGCCCAATCGTTGAATCTGTTTAATATGACAATTATTGCATGTTACATTATATACATATATTTCATACATGTATATCGATATGTTCAGCTAGCCACATGTCATTCGAATATCGAGCCACGTAATATGTTTATAGATTTCTATTGAAGCGTATTGCAGTAAAAAAATTAGTCTATACTTTGATTTATATTTTATTTTATTTACTAATGTGTTAAAATAACAATACAAAAACAGCGCTAAGTATTTTTTGTACATTACATTTTTTTTACTTTTATTTTTACTTTTATTTTTTAATTTAAATTAAAAATTTTTATTTAACTTTAAATTTTTTTAATTTCCTAAATTTAATTCTTTGTGCCTTATATTACCTTTTTTGAATATACGTTTAAATATATTTGAATTAAATAATTATTTAGAGATAAATAATTTATTTTTTATATATATCTATTTATCTAAATATTTTATAAAAATATATAATAACTTTACAATGTATATACATTCCAGTTTAAATTAATTACATAATTATTCATGTTATTTAAATATAAAGATGAATAAATATATATATATATATATATTTTACTGAATTTATTTTGTTATTGTATATATTATAAACGTTTTAAAATAAAGCAATAATTATACATTTGTATCATTATAAGAAATTTATCTAAATATTATATATTATGTTGTCACTTACTTAGTGCAACTTTTTGATTTGACTACTTTTTGATGCTAATATTTTAACCTTTTTTCTCGTATTATCAATATAATTATTTAGCGCAATTTTTTGATTTCACTACTTTTTGATGCTAATATTTTAATTTTTTTCTAGTATTATTAACAAAAATAAAATATAATTTATAAATATAATTTTTGAGAAAATATTTTTGATAATGATTAATTTTTGCAAAGAATTATTTTGGCTATAAACATAATTTTTGAGAAGATTATATTTTTTATTATTATAAAGAACTATTTTTGCTGACGAAAGATATAACTTAGCGCTTTTTTTTTACATCTGTGATGTCTTTTTTTGTGGGATTATATTATATTTAATATTTATCGCCGCTTCTATTAATATGAAGTGCAATGTCAACGTGCAATAATGTACAATTATTTAAAGTTTCCATGCCTAATGTATCATGCCGGTATAAAAGAACGTCAAGTAGCATGCGTAGCGAGCAACTAAGATGACGAGCTGAAATCGTGGACCGGTTTTACGATAAATGTGTGTATTTAAATTGCACAAATATTAGGACAAAAGATGGAAAACGTTTATTTCGATTTCCATTACAAACGGGTGCGAGACATGATTTATGGTTACGCAATAGTGGTGAGTTTATAAAATTGATTTACTTATTTATATCAATATATAATATATATTGATATGATATATGAAACAAATATATATATATATATTCTTTGTTTTTTTTAATAAAATATGTCAGATATTATGTATGTTTACGTATGGATTACGTTGAAGTGTTTCTTTGCCGCGTTTTTCTGATCTCGCCGAACGGTTCGCGAATCCTGTGCGAATAAAAAACGATGCGCGTGTGTGTGTGCGTGCGATTGTGATGATCAGTTTCAGTTCGTCTTCAACGCTTGACGAGAGAAGAGGTCCCGAACTGCTGTAAGTTTATAAAAACATATTTTTGTATAACACATTAGAACGATTTTATATTATTTTTTTTGTCTAGAAAACGTTATATTAATAACCGTTATGAAAACGATCTCGACGACGGCGACGATGCCGGTGACGACCGTCGTCGAGATCGTTTTCATAACGGTTATTAATATAACGTTTTCTAGACAAAAAAAATAATATAAAATCGTTCTAATGTGTTATACAAAAATATGTTTTATAAACTTACAGCAGTTCGGGACCTCTTCTCTCGTCAAGCGTTGAAGACGAACTGAAACTGATCATCACAATCGCACGCACACACACACGCGCATCGTTTTTTATTCGCACAGGATTCGCGAACCGTTCGGCGAGATCAGAAAAACGCGGCAAAGAAACACTTCAACGTAATCCATACGTAAACATACATAATATCTGACATATTTTATTAAAAAAAACAAAGAATATATATATATATTTGTTTCATATATCATATCAATATATATTATATATTGATATAAATAAGTAAATCAATTTTATAAACTCACCACTATTGCGTAACCATAAATCATGTCTCGCACCCGTTTGTAATGGAAATCGAAATAAACGTTTTCCATCTTTTGTCCTAATATTTGTGCAATTTAAATACACACATTTATCGTAAAACCGGTGTTTACTCGACATTGTAAAATAAAAATAATAATTAGCACCAACACCAAAAAAAAAAGAAAATTAAAAAATGCGAAATTAAAGAAAACAGGACACTAACAAATAAACAACTAACACTAAAATAATCTTAATTAAAAAACTAATTATAGTTAAAATTAATATGAAAGAAACAAATATACTAAACACGCGTACACAACACGTAAAATTTATTTATTTCAAGGAAAAACAGCGTAAAGCGATCTCTATCGTATTATAACTTTGAACGTATTATGCGATGCAATCTGTGGCACAGCGAGTGGACTGATTGTCGTATACAGATTGCAAGAAACATTTGAACTAAAAAAATTGAATATCTAAATTATGTGTGTGGGCGTTTGCATTAATAATTAAATTCCTTGCAGAATTAAAAAATAATTTATTTTGTTCCATTACAAAAAAAATTATCAAATAATGATATATTGATTATTACACATTTATACACATAATAACTTATTTGAAAAAAGTGAAAAAAAAATCTGAAAAAGGCAGGGGTTTGAACTTGAAATGTCCACGATTTCAGCTCGTCATCTTATTGTTAGTTGCTCGGCTACGCATGCTACTTGACGTTCTTTTATACTGGCATGATACATTAGGCATGGAAACTTTAAATAATTGTACATTATTGCACGTTGACATTGCACTTCATATTAATAGAAGCGGCGATAAATATTAAATATAATATAATATATATTAAAAATTACATTCCAAAATCCAGGTGGTCGAACAATTAATCGTTCTTTTTATTTTAATTAAAATAAGATTTATATATAAATTTAACGTATAAGACGGGCAACAAGAGCCAAATCGCGGATGACAATGCTTTATCCTAACAAAACTAAATAATTTTCCGTTAGAATTAAATACCGGTGCACAAGGCACCAAATTTTACTTGGACACGGCCAAGATTTTTAAAATATGAAATAATCTCATATTTGAGATTTAATTTCAATACCCCCTTTTAACCCCCCTACGGAAAATAAATAAATGAATGCAAGAGAAAAATATAGATCCGAAAATCGCTGAATCGGGAAGATTTATATATTTCATTACACATATACATATATATATATATATTTTAATAATTATATTTTAGTTTTTATACAAATTATATAAATACATATATATATATATATATATATATATATATATATAAAGAGAAAAGATAGCACATATACAGAATGAATACGTGATACTGTGTTAACACGAAAATTATGGGCGTAGCACGGACTCGCACCAAATACAAACTTTATCGACCCTGCCAGAAAATGGGTGTGCAGTTAGTTCCGATATTAAAAACGGGTGCGAGGGGCGCTTCAAGCAGTCCCGTAAAAACGGTAACAGCCAAAACGCCGGCCTGGCCGCTCTCATCTTTCTCTCTGATACATATATTTATTTAATTAATTTAGATTTCTTAATTATATCCAACTATTTGTAAAAAAAGCTCTTTTTTTATATATACAATACTTGGATATAACTAAATGTAAATTAATTAATTAACATACAACATTACAAGCTATATGAAATTTAAAATATCACATTTATTGCATATATGTTATAAATTAAATATTTAATTTAACTACATATATTCAAAATTTATGAATACAAAGAATCAAGTTTACTAAACAAGACTTGATAAAATATATATATATATATATAAAATATGAGAAATCTAATCTCTTGTACTTTGATTCCATCATCTTGCAAAGTAAATTGCATTAAAAAAAAGCATCTGTTATATTTTTATTATATAAAAGAAACAACTACTTAGTAAAAATATTAGAAATGAATTTTTATTCTTATCTACATATGTATATATTTCATAAAATATTTTGTATGTAATGAAAAAATTCGAAAAATTTTATTTAACAACAGTATATTAAATTATCTTATTAATCGAATATATAACTAAAAGCATTCTACAAATTTTACTCAGGCAATAAAACTTTTAAGCAACAAATTATATTATATATATTTAAGCAATACATACTTAAAGATATTTAGTCAAATCTAACTAAAATCTATCGTATCAATCACGTGTAAATATCTCGTTAAAATATATATTCGATAATTCAGATATATCAAAAGAGCTGCTTATTATAACAACATTGATTCGTCATTGTAAAGTACTGATATCGTTTATCAAATGAGAGAATTCGCAAAAGATTAATTATGAATATTTCATATAAAATAAAACGTATTCATGTGTGCTTTGCAATGTTTCTCAGAGTTCATTCGGTAGTATTTATCGCAATCTACCAAATTATTAATTGTATGATTTGTTGCAATTATATATTTATGTTTTAATATACATTACCAGAAAAACAATGTATGTAACGTAAATCATAGATTTCCAGTGATATATATTAAAACATAGAATTATATATATATATATATATATATATATATATATATATATATATAATTACGAGAGTTTAAACAATTGTTTTTTTTGCGAGATTCAATTGACACGTCATTCGTATGTATATTATACATATATATAATTTTATATATATATAAAATATATAATTAATATATATACAATTATATATATAATTCTATTATATATAAATTAATCATTAATTATGCGCCTATATTTTCTATTAGGTGGAAAAACTTCCTCATCTTCGTCTTTGTCGGGTGCGAGAAAAGGATCGTCGTATGCGTAATTTGGTGCCCATTTTAATAACAATTTCTCAAAAAACTCTTCTAAATTTCTAGCTTCTTGATAAACTTGCGAATCCACCTGAAAAAAAAAGAACAAATAGAGAAATGAAAAGAGGGAGAAAATAAGATAAAAGAAATGAAGAAATATATAAAAAGGAGGATAAAAAATATTAAAAAAAAAATAACAATAATTTAAATGACTTACAGGATTGTAAGTGAAAGCGTTTTTGAACATGAGTCTGATGTCCGCCATGACTTGTCTCAGATCCGTATAATGATCTGTATGCTCGGGTTTTAATTTATCCCTGATTATATCTAACGCAATCGGCTTCTTGATAATTCGATGATAATCGGTGATCTGATGACACGAGAAGATCATTTTTTATTATCAAACAAATTAAAATCATTTAAAATAAAAATGTATTCACCTCGCTTGATACGACTTCCCGAAAAGGAAGACTCTGCTCGTATTGACAATAAAGTTCTAGAACGATTCTCTGCGCAATTCGCAATTCCTTAGCGCTCATGCCGTTCGGTCTCTTCTCGGTATTCGGTGCATCGTCCGAACAGTCGAGTACATTCGTGCACAACATACATTGCCAGGTTTCACTTTCGCTGAAACAAGTAATTAGACAAAAATAGAAGAGCGAAGATGAAAAGAGATGAATAAGGTAGACAAATGCAGCATTCTTACTCTGGAAATGACTTTAAACTAGTATATGACAATAAAGATGGAAGACTTTTGGACATTTATCACAACATAGCACCGCATCACCTCCATCCATGCATACTGCACACCAGTCTTCGTTGGGATCATCCTTCATCACCATCGAAGCAGTTGTACTTTTCGAATTGTCTGCTGAAAGAGAGTCATCAATAGAGATAGGCACTTTATGCTTTGAATATAATAGCATAATGTGTCAAAAATTGTTTTAAGCATTAATTTTAATAATTGTGCATAGTACTTAATATTAAATTAAACACTTAATTAAACAATTTTTGACACATTATGCTATTATGCTCATAGCATAAAGTCTAGCCTATCCCTAATCATCAAGTGAAGAATGGGAGAAAAAATCTGGATGTCAAAGGAAGAATTGAGCTGATCAAAGACTATAAGAGCCCAACCTGTTGCATTCTCAGTCATCGAGTTGATATCCTCATCCGTAGAACTGTCCACTTGTATAGAATCCATCTGGTTCCTCTGAGCCTCCGGTATCACCATGATTCCGTTGCTATCTAGCTTTGCGATAGTGAGCATCAGATCGTTCAACGATTTCTGGCAAAACTTATCTAGACTCTTCTCGGTGTCGTCGGACTTTCCAGGCGTAGTGACAGGACTAGGGGTCTTGGGTATCGACGAGCTGACCGCCTGCAACAGGGAGACAGCGGCGGGCTGCGAGTTTTGCGACTGCGACGAGTTAACGTCGCAGGAGCTGACATTCGCCACATTGGCGTTGTACTTTTGATTGTTCCCCGGTTGCGTTTGATTCTTCAACGTGATCTTGTACGTCTCGTTGCCGGTAGGGAGGACCGTCATGTTGGGAGCGACCGCGTGCGGATGCCTTGTCGCCGAGGTGTAAGAGGGCAGGCAAGGATTCGCTTGCTGAGGTATGTGCCAGCGATGCTGCTGCTGCACGGGATAGTTCCCCAGGTGCTGCATCGACGGGGAGGCTAAGGTACACTGGGGCAGACGTGCGTTCGGCTGCTGATATGCGTGATGCGGGGGCACCTGAACCATCGCCGCTGCCCCTCTCTGGGAGCCGGCGCCCGAGGTGTACCTGTACCCAGGTGGCAAGCGATACGACACGTGATTCGTGGATCCTCGGTACGACGGATACGGAGGCGGCGGAAGGGAAGGATTGTGCGCGAGAAGGCCGCGTAGACTCGAGTTCTGTCCGAGCTGATCAAGGTTCTGCACCTGCTGATGGGGATGCGTAGACGACGTCACTTGCTGCTGGTGGCAGTTGCCCATAGGACGTTGCTGGTGCATCACCAGGGGTTGTTGCAGTCTGTTGTTGCTGTTGTAGCTGGCGGAGTACGGCACGCGAGGCTGATGCGCCTGCGGCGATGATCGAGGAGGCATATTGTGCGGTGTGGTGTACTGTTGCATGTTGTAGTTTTGCTGTTGCGGGTGCTGCTGCGGCTGCTGCTGCTGTTGTTGTTGTTGCTGCTGTTGTTGCTGCTGCTGCTGTTGACACAGATGCAGAGGCATTTGTTGCTGGTAGGAATTTTGTTGCACGTTGGCAGATTGCTGTGGTACAGTTGCTCCGGATAGTGGTAATCCTGGCTGGATAATTGGAATAGCACCATCTTGAGCGTTCGAACTTGTAGTTTGCTTAGGTTCAGCTTGTGGTTCACTGTACGCTGTGTTATTATTTCCAGGAGATACGGATGGATATACTCTGCCATCGACGACTATCGCTCCCATAGATGATACCACTACAATTATAAGTGCAAAATCAATCAAAAATTATTGTGAAAATCGTGCAAGTGTTTTATCATGTCTTGCCACGAACCTTTTATTAAATCTGGTACTTTTCCAGGGACAGATGTATTCTTACCGGTATCTCGGGATTTGGAATATCGGCTCGTTTACTTTTTATCCTTAGTAAATGATTTGTAACGGATCTATAATATTATTATTATGTATTATATACATCATATACGTATATATGTAGGTATCTGTAATTGTAGTATACTTTTTACTATATAATAATTCCATATCTGAGCCTTTATTTAAGGCATGAGTGCCAAAGAGTATACAATGATCCGTAAGCTTGGACAACTGATCCAGAGCAACTTTCTTCTCATTTAAAGTATTCTGCTTTTGATCACACACCTCGTTTAATTTCATTACCAATTGTTTTCCCCTTGTATTAATTGCGTTCGTTAATCTGAAACAAAAAAATAGAATAAAATAATATATTTAAGAAAATTGTTTAAAAAAATTACCTGAAAATTTTCGGTATTTTTATTTCAAATTTCAGGTAAAATCAGAAAATTTCACAAGATGCAGCTTTATAAAAGTTCCTTTCTATATGCTTTTTAATGTTTTCTTTTCATACAATTGGAAAGTTATCAAGAGTGCAGTTTTTCTAGCATTTAATATAGATTTAGTAATTGTAAAATTAATTTGGATAACAAAATTTGATATATTCTATCTAAGCACTAAAAACATATGCAAAAATATAATACAAAATAAAAATAAGAAACAAAACATAATTTATTATAAACGTCTTAAGAAATATTAATTTATTTAAATTTATTATTCGCGTTAAATTATTAATTATTTGTTTTATTAAAATAAATAAGAAGTACTAATTTATTATAAATATTTAAAAATTGAACAATTTTTTTATAAAACTTACATAAGATCATTAATAAAAAATCACATAAAATTTTAATAAAGCTCTATTAGACATATGTTTCTTAAGTGCTAAATAAGAATAAAAATGATCAAAAAGACAATTAAAAAATCAAATTCCATGAAAAATCCCCGATTTTTCAAAATAAAACAAAATTCCCTGAGAACCTACTAGTTTTTCAAGATTTTTTATAAGTATAGATCCTGAGAGAGGTTGTAACATACTTACTGTACTACCATCTGCGTAATATCTTGAACAAGATTTTTCTTCTTCTCCAATATCAGAATTTGCCTATCCTCTATAACTTTCATCGCGCTTTTCAACAATACTCGTTTGTAGCTGAAAATTATATCGTATTGTCTTGTAAATCTGCAACTCTCTGACATTTCGTGGAATTATTATATATTTATAAATCTTACCTTACTTCTTTAAGCAAAGTAGACATGGAGGAACGAGTTTCAGCAGCAATTTCATGAATAAATTGTATTTATGATCACGATGCTCGCTAAGTTGACAGTCTCTACAAGTTAATTTATCGCACGTTTGACAAAATAAAGATAATTGTTCGTGACTATGAATTGTGCAAAATAAATATCCAGGTATCTTCTTATTGCTCCTTTTGACATTATCTCTATTGTCATTCGTCATTTCATCCTTGGGTTTAATTGTGTGGTCCTTGGTTATCTTTAATCTTTGATGAGCCTTAAAATAATCAAAAAATAAAATTAATGAATAAAATAATTTTGTCTAATATAAGTTAATATAAGTTAAACATTGAAGTTTGGTTTAAATTCTCGTTCAAGAATCCATATCTTTTTTATCTAAATTGTATGGCATACAAAGTTTAATACATAAATATTAAGATACAAATTGTTTAATTACCATGACACAATTTTGACAAATAAATTCTTCACATTCGACACACCAGCTAGTGGCAGTGGCATTATCGTGACAGCTGGTGCATTTTTTTTCCTCTTCAATTCTTTAGGTTCATCGTCCAATCCCAAGTTGCTCTCTTCTTCCAATAACTTAAGAGAAATCTGTTTTCAATCAAATTTTCCACTTTGCTGGTTACATTACACACATGACACACAATCAAGTTGCTTTCCACTGCAAAAAAAAAGAAAGACAATGAATTAGCATGCGTAAAATAAATTAATTTAACATAAAATAATGTTATATATATCAAAGTAAGAGTCTTTGTTTGTTCTAATTAATAATTTAACAGATCTTAAATAAATATTAATTTAAATTCTCAGATAAGTATTTATTAATTTAATTCTTAAATAAATTATTAATAAATATATAATAAATATTAAAACAAATAAATAAACAAATGTATAGAAGGCAATAATTACAATTAATTTGTGTATATTACACATATAGCACATTAATTCAAAATAAAATGTTACACATCAAAATAAAGAGTCGATGTTCACTCAATTAATAATTTGACAATTCTAAAATAAATATTAAGACAAATAAATATAAAGAAATTTTGTCAAATAATTACAATATGCGTACATTATACATACACAGCACGTTAATTCAAAATAAAATAACGTTACATATCAAAGTAAAAGTCTATGTATTCATCTTATTATAATAATTTGGGCAATTCTCAAATAAATATATTAAAATATTATTATTATAAAATTTAAATTCTCAAATGCAGAGTAATTTAATTCTTAAATAAATATATTAATAAGTATAAAGATAAATAAATAAGAAAAATTTAGAAGGTAATAATTATAATTAATTTGTGTGTATTACACATACAGCATATTAAATCAAAATAAAATAATGTTACACATCAAAGTAAGAGTCTGTGTTGCTCTATTATTAAATTTACAGTTCTCAAATTAATATTAATAAATATTTAGGCAAAATATAAAAAAATGTTGTTAAAGACAATAATTATAATTAATATGCACACACAGTATTAATTCAAAATAAAATGTTATAAATTTAACATATATAAGATAGGCAATAAGAGCCAAATCGCGGATGACAGTGCGTTATTCTAAACGAAACTAAATTTTTTTTTTCGTTAGAATTAAATACCTGTGCACAAGGCACCAAATTTTACTTGGACACGGCCAAGATATAAAATTGGAATAATCTCTACAAGAGATTTTTAATTCCATGTATCCCCTATTCCCCTAAAGAAATAAATGTGAAAAAAACGCACTGTCATCCGCGATTTGGCTCTTATTGCCTATCTTATATATGTTAAATTTATATTTATATTACAGAGCCTAGTTAAACTCTTAAAATGTTATACATCAAAGTAAAAGCCTGTGTTTGCTTCATTAATAATTTGACAGTTTTCAAATAAATATTAAATAAATAAATATAAAAAATATTGAAGACTAATGTGTGTGTATATTATACATATGCAGTACATTAATGCAAAATAAAATAATAGTACACACATCAAAGTAAAAGTCTGTTTGCTCCATTAATAATTTGACAGTTCTCAAATAAATATTAATAAACATTAAGATAAATATAAAAAATATTGAAAATTAATATGTACATGCATATCATACATACGTAGTGCTTTAATTCAAAATAAAAAATTGTATATTGAAATAAGAATCTGTTTGCTTCATTAATAATTTGACAATTCTCAAATACATGTTAAAAATCTAAATAAATATAAAAAATTGGAAGATTAATATGTGTGTATATTATATGTACACAGTACATTGATTCCAAATATAATAGTTACACATATTGAAGTAAGAAACTGTTCACTCCAATAATAATTTGACACTTCTCAAATAAATATTAAATAAATATAAAGGATTTGAAGACTAATGTGTGTGTATATCATACGTACATAGTACATTAATTCAAACTAAAAAATCACATATACTGAAGTAAGACTCAGTGTTCGCTCCCTGACCATAATTTGACAGTTGGCAAATAAAACGGAGTAAAATCTCCAATAAATAAAATAAATATATCCCGTCGAGAGGCGATGATTCCAATAAATTTGCGCATACAACACATACACAGCACATCCACATCCACCGACGTGTTGTGATCGCCGAGCTTATTACTGACACACGCCGCGCAGACCGCGTGCAGGCACTCGAGCAGCTTCGGCTCGTCGCCGAGGACGAACACCCAGTTGCAGAAGACGCATTTGGACAGGAACGCGCGGATCTCGCTCTCCTGACCCTCGGTCGTGCACTCGATCCGCTCCTCTTCCTCGACCGCGTCCTGGGAGGACGGCTGCTGCGAGTCCTGCCTCGAGCTCGGCTCGGACGGCTCCTCCTTCACCGTCACCGACATTCCCGCCAATCGCTGTCACGGCTCTCCATGGTCGCGAAATGATTCCACGATATTAAACGGCCCTCGCGAGGAACGGCTTACGTTATAATCCGCGGCGGAAAGTTTCTCTCAAATTCAGCCAACATTGCGCCAAGGCAGCCATTTTCGTATACTATATATAATACGGGTGTATTTTATATATGTATGTATATGTGCAAATTGGTTCTGTGGTGGTGAAATTGTGTAAGGCTGCGTTCGTAAACGTTACCCGCAGGGTATAAATGTCTCTGAACTCGTTCAGAAAGTCGAAAAATACATTATGGTGGAAAAGTTACCTTTACCCACATGCGTTTAGAAAGTTCTTGAGGAATTACCCAGGGTGCTCCTTATGTACCCTGCTCGCGACTGAGGTAGAGTTTACCCGTCATGCGCAGAAACGCACTTTTCACATTTTACACAAGAATTCCGTACCAGGGGAAAGAAACCTCTCTGTCCGTACGTGAAATAAGTGAAATTACAATAGTGTACCAAATATGTCTAATTGTAAGATATCACAATCCCAAGCTTTGTATAAAGTTATAGAAGGTGCCGATAGAAATCCAATTTTCAACGCAGAAATGTCGGAAGTTTATTTACGTGACAATAAAAGTAAGTTACAAAATATATGTTTAGAAATTTGGTACATTTATTTCGCCTTTTGTTGTGTCTTAATAGACACGACAAAGAACGAATTATGCTTAATAAATGCTTAATATCTAGTTCCTTTGTAAAAATTGCTTTGTATAATTCTCAAGTTAATTGTTAAAAAACGTTTACAAATAACATAACCTCTTTTAATTATATTTTACAGCAGGCAGAATGGCTTATATTCCTTTAACGGAATATATTATTGAAACTTTGCTCAAACCGTATGGAATAGAAATTATGTTACCCGAAAAAAATGTTGATACAGAAAATTCATCTCGCTGTTCGACATCTATCTTAGAAGAAACTGAGAACATAATATTGATACCCTTAGAAGAGAGCAATGAAAAAGTTCTGGATAAAGGAATGAAAAACTTATGGACAGATAAAAGTAGAGCAATGCTGCTACATTTGTACAAAAAGTATCAAAATGATTTTAGTTCCAATTGCATTAAAAAGGACGATATCTGGACTAAAATTGCCTGTGGTATGAAATGCGAAGGCTATAATTTTGTTGCAGCACAATGTAAAGAAAAAATGAAATACATGAAGAAAAAGTATTTAAAAAAATAGATAATATGGGTCCTAAAAGTACTGGTGCAGCACCAGTAAAATGTGATAACTTTGAGGAACTCGATGAATTGTTTGGAAATAAACCCAATGTTATTCCTGTTGCAATAGCAAGTTCATCGAATGACAATATTAAGTTTGAAGGTATGATAAATATTATTATTTTATATAAATGTATTTGGTTAAGAATTTGTTTACATTTATTATAAGTTACATTATTATTTTACAGTTACACAGAAAGATCTTGATGATGCGAAAGATAATAAAAAAAAACAACGAAAGAGAGCGAGTACAATAACTCTCAGTGATTTACAAGTTATACTTGAAGATAAAGAAAACGCAAAGAAGGCCAGGCACGAAGAAAAACAAGAACTTCTTCGACAAAGTATAAGTTCTTATGAACGCATGATGGAAAAATTAATGGAAAAGCTATAAAGCTGTGATAAGATTATTTAATATTGTTCCGTCCGGCTCTGCAATACATTTTATATAATGATAAGTATATCAGTATTAATTTAAATTATAAGAAGATTTGCATCCAAGAAAAATGAGATTGAATAGTTAATGATTAAAAAATTGTTTGAATTAATACGTTTTTCTTTTAGCGACACAAGTTGACACAAGTATCATTCTATCTTTTATTAAAGCCTGAATGTTTAAAAAAGACAGAATGATGATTGTGTCAACTTGTGTCGCTAAAAGGAAAGCACCCTTAATAAATTATTTTTCTTGAATGCGAAAAAAAAATTGATTTTCAATTTCTTTAAATCTGTGCCAAAGACGTGGTTACTGTATTAACTCTAAAAAATATCGCCTCAAAGTATCTAAATGAAAAAGTTTATTTTAAATTGATATTATTATATAGTATATTATTTTAAAAGTATATTTTTTATTTTAACTGTATTAGGGCGATCCTATTTTTGAATATCCTATTTATGTTATATTATAAAATATAGTTATAAAATATATTATAGAATATATGTTATATTACAGAATATAGCACTGAGAACATATTACATTTGTCGACGATTTTGATTTAATGCTTTGCATAGTGCATCGCGACGTTCATTTCCAAGTCGTTTTTCATTTTCATTTTCATATATAATTTGTTCCTGTGGTTTTTCCATTATTGCCTCCATACCTTCTTGTACATATTCGCATATCAAATCATCGCTAAAATCTAGACATATATTATGCAAAACACAGCATGCAAGTATCGTTTTGGGTATTAAATCGACTCTGTTCATGTCCAAATATTTTAAGCGTCTAAATCGACCAAATAAAAGAGCAAATGCTCTTTCAATTGTTTGTCTTGTCTGTGAAACTCGTGTATTAAAAATTCCCTGCTGTCTTGTCAATTTCCTCGATTTATATATGGAGTAATACACCACTTTAAAGTAGGATAAGCTTTATCGGCTAAAATAAATTCATCATTTGGAAAATACTTTTCTGGATTTTGACGTATCAAATTATAAATGTCAGAATTTCTAAAAATCCTAGCATCGTGTACTGAACTAGGATATCCTGAATAACTATCTATGAATTTTAAATTAGCATCGCAAATTGCTTGCAGCGTTATGGCGTACTGCATTTTACGATTTCGATATGTTTCTGGATCCTTTGATGGTGCTTTAATTGGTACATATGTCCCATCGAGAGCACCTATAACACCATCAATTCCAGCCATAGCTTTAAATTTTTCTTTTACCAATGGAAGTTCCTGTTCTGTTGGCCAATGAATCACTTGAGGTGCTAAATCATTTAAAGCTGTCGTAATTCGAACAAAGCAGGAAAATAATGTAGATTTGCTTAAATCAAATCTTTCTCCAACTGATCTGTTGTTACATAAAAGAACATCATTTTTAAATTAAATTTAGACATAATAAATATATATTTAATGATAGTTTAAAAATAAATATACAATTGATTTTGGTATTGTCTGAATTTTTAGAGTAAAATTTTCTTTTCATCATAATGTTATTTACTTTTAGATTACAGAAAGAGCAAACATTTACATACTTCTAATAAAAATCAGCGTTACATATATATAAAAATGTCAGGATACCTATAAGAATCTGGCGTCGCTAATAGCCATATTGTTGCTAATAACTGTTTTTCAACTGGGACCATTGGTCTCCCAGTTCCAGTAGTATTAGTATTTTCTATTTGTGGACCAACAATAATAAGTAAACTTTGGAAAGTTTCACGTGTTATTCTAAAATTTGACTGAAATTGTTTGTCAGTGAAATGATGAATGGTTTCTTCCACATATCTTTCAATGCGTTTAGCCTTGTTTCTCTTTTTTTTTGAGCAAATAAGTGTCAATAAAATTTCAGTTTCACTATCAGATAATGATGAATCGGAATCAAATTCGTAATTGGACAAAAGTTTTTTTCCTATTGATATTGCCGTGCCAATAATTGCTTTTTCTCTGTCACTACTCATGCTTTCTTTCGTGTATAATATAGTTTGCTAAAAAAAATTAAAATATTTTATTTTATATTTTCAAAAATACTTATTTATTTAAAATATGCAATATTTATAGTGAATAGTTCGAATATTGAATAATGAATGGTAAATATATAGTAATATTAGAAGTCGATAAGATTATTAATACTAATTGTTAATTTGTATGATTTTTTCATTTATTTTTAAATATTATATATTACTTCTTTAACGCAAATTAATTTCAATTTTATTGGTTTAACTTACTTTTTATCTTATTCTAATTCTACAAATTAAAAAAATTAAAAGTAAATTAAACTAAGATTAAATTTCATCTACATTAGAATTCTACAAATAAACATAGTGATGAAGATAATTATTCAAAATAATATGATGATAATTATATTTGTCAAATTTATATTACGCGATCGTTTTACCTCAAGATCGTTCATAAACTTTAGGTAGTCCTTGAAGATTGATGTGTCCCTACACGTTCACTGACTAGTCCCCGTCAAGTTAACCTATACCTCAGCGGGTAAGGTTTACGAACGCACCCTAAGTTGAGACACCATATGATTTCTCGTTGCTGATTGGCTGAGAAAATTTGACAAAAAATGGTGGAATCGAAACATTTTTCTTAATAGTAATTATAATTATTTTTCGATTAATCTATTTTAAAATTAATTTATTAATTATTCTACTTTTTAATTAATTTATCAATTAATCTATTTTGAAATTAATTTAATATTTTTAAAAATTAACTTGGTAATTAATCTATTTTAAAATTAATTTATTAATTAATCTAGATATTTTAAATTCAATATTTTATATCTACATGTAAAGTATATTATATTAATATGTTTTTTTAATTACGTTCAGCAAAATACTTTTATCTTGCACAAAATTTAAACTTTTTAATATTTAATAACTCAATTAAATTAATTTTATAAATAATTTTGTTATATAATTTTTTTTGTATAATTTATTCTTACATAATTTTATTATATAACGTATTATAACCCATAAAAATATTTTTAAAAAAATAATATTAATTTAATCCACCAATAGAAAGCAGGGAACATCTATTCCTTTCTCCTATAGGTGAATATTTTCTATTCCCTACGAACTAAAGCATCGAAAAAGCTATTAACAAAGATGCGCGATCCTACAAATTCCCTGTTTAGTTATTTTCTAGGGAATAATTGCGTGTCCGCCGTCGAGTCGTCGCTCTATATTCCACACTTCAATCGATGGTTCACCGCGCTTCCATCCAAACAGTGTTCCGACTTCCGACACAGATTAAGGGTCGACAGGCGACATGGTGGAGACGCCTATCGGCCGGCCGGGAATTACGGATTCTTATTTTCCAGATATTAGCGAAAATATTGAATGAATCTTATTAAATTTAGGATATTCTTAATCAGTAAGCTCATTTGTAGTCCTCTAAAGAGCTATTTTATGAAAAAAAGATAAAAATAAAAATTTTTAATAAACTTGGGGGAATGCACAGCTAGGAACGGGTAAGGTTGGGTTAGCCGCGAGTCCGTATTTTATTTATTATAAATTTTTAAGAGCGAAAATGTAAAATCCGGCCTTTTAGAGGACTGCTTTATTATATAAAGAATATATTAAAAAAAAATTCACGAAGTTATGTCACTTATTTTATGAAATATCTGGACGATAAGATTCTCACTAGATTCATAAGAAGCAGGGGAAATTTCTGTGGTAACATGCTGACTGCTTGACAAGGAGAGAGCATCATTCCATCTTTGTCTCTCTTACATCGCATATGTAGTAGCGTCCATGTAGGTACAAAACTAATACGTGAGCACACGGATGCAAATATTGAGAGATAATGTCAGCAAAAAGGCTATCATATTATTTTTATTTTTTTGTATATGTATGCATATGTAAATAAAGAACAAAAATAAAAACTATTTTAAATAATAAGAATCTATTTGTGTGTGTGTGTGTGTAATTAAAAATTAATAAAAAAATTAAAAAATCAATTTATATACCATATATTTTTTTTATATCATATAAAAAAATCTTAGAAATGTACTTAAATTTTTCGTAGATCCTCGATTTTTTTCATTGCTTATAAACATTCAGCTAAAAGAGCAGTTGAGACTATTCGAATAAAAAATATTTCATCTTATTTTTTGCAAATAATATAATATATTTTTTATTTAGGAGTCCAAAAATATATGTTACGCATAAGTTATTTATAATTTTCGTTCAAATTAAGAGAATATTGTATTGAATATATTGTAATGCATATACACATTAATTTTCATTAATTTACTTGTTTAACAAAAACATGGTTTTTTGATAATAATTTAAAATTATTTCTGCTCAGTGATTTTTAAATAGCCGCAGTATATTGACGGTGCAAAGGTAGCATAATCAATTGTTTTTTAAATGAAAACTGGAATGAAGGAATTGATTAAATTAAAGCTGTTTTAATTTGTAGATTTAAAATTTAAATTTTAAGTTAAAATTCTTAAAAGAAATTATGGGA